AATGATAATTAAAAATATTTTAAAATCAAATAAAAGCAATCAACAAGAACTTATTTAAATAAATAGGGAGAATATATTTAAAACTCATATTCAAATTACTATTAGTAAACTTAATCTGATTTTTAATTTTTTAAATATAAATTTTAGATAAAAATTTAACATATTATACAAATGATAATTAAAAATATTTTAAAATCAAATAAAAGCAATCAACAAGAACTTATTTAAATAAATAGGGAGAATATATTTAAAACTCATATTCAAAACTCAAATAGAACACTTAACGGAATGCATCTCCTCAAGTTCATCAAACTTTCTTAAAAATCAGACCTTTATTATCTTATTCAAACTGCAATTTATAAATTTAAATAACAAAACCTTGAATTAAAAACTAAAAAAGAAAAAAAAAAAGAAAAAAGAAGAAACCTTTAATTCAACAGCTTAGGCAATTGGATCAAGATTGAACATTTTTTGGATTAAAAAAAAAAAACCTAACATGTTATATCCAGAGAATATTTCTTATTTCAGAACTCTTCTCAAATGAGGCAAAACTCTGTCTCTCTATTTTATTTTGAGACAAGATCAAGCAAATAAAGCACCACCATTGTACATGCTCTAAATGGGTTCATCCGTTCACGAATCATGATCCCGGGATTGAACCGGGTTGTGTATGGCTCATGCCCATTGGTGGGGCACAGATGCGTCGACTTTTTGAAGTACGTCAATAAGGCTTTTTTGTAAGCCCAGCCTAAACGAAAATCAAACTGCATCAAACCCATTTTTCGATATCTAAACACCCCGCATGAGAAAGCAATAAGGCCAAAATGATCAAATTAAACACCCCAAAATTTTACAGACATTATATCAGTGCACCTTATTCTAAAACAATATCTTACATATGATCTTTGACTGAGCTGGAGTCAAGAGACACATAATGCACTGTTTTAGATAGCCAATTACAACCTTGAAAAAAAGCGCACGCACACACTAGGTGACTAGACATTTTAGACATATAGAAAAGTTTAGCCATTATTGAGAATGCCCGCATGAGAAAGCAAGGCCCACAAGTGGGTCACAAACTCTCCTCCTTCGGCTAGATGTTCTACATGGGCTCTTGGATCACCGGAGGGAGCTACAAATAACATGAGCTCCGCCCAGAAATCGGCCAAGACCTTCCACATAAAATCACTTTCATTTTGTAACTTTTGTAGATCATTTGCAAGCCTTGCACCCTCATGAATGATGGTTTCTTGTCCACCCAGCTTGTTCATAATTTCCTCATACTTATCTCTATCTGACTTGCACTCCTTCAAACTGCCTCTGCAATCCTTGAGAACCTCATCGAAAATAAACTCTGAATCCGTGGCATTGTCCGATATCAACCTTGGGGCAAATGCCACCAAATAGGCACAATAATCAGACAACCGAGTGGCAACAACGAAGTCTCCATTCCTCAAACTGTTTGGTCTTGTTGCAATCTTACAGAGACTAGTAGCTATGTGCCAGACCAAGATTACATGGGTGGGTGTCTCAAGCTCACTTGCCCAAATCAGCTCATCCCGTACATTATTTTGCTGAAGAGATTTTTCCCCATTGCTCAGTTTGCGATCATTGATTGTCCTGAGATTAAGTATCACTGCCTTTTTTACCTCCTCAGGCAATTCAATTTTACTGCTTCCTGTCCGGCCTTGTCTGGGAACACGATCTACAAAATCCGATGAGAAATACCTGAATTTAAATTTGAGAGGGTCACGATGGAAGGACTTAAGAAGAGAGTATTGACCAAGTTTTCTCCCCCAAGGTTTAAGCCATCGATGTCTGAGCAAGACCATCTTTGCAAGCAGCAACATAAGGTAGTTACTATCATATATTCCCCTCACATGGTTACAAATCAAAAGAACCATTGCCCAATTTGACACAATGAGATAGAGGGACTGTGCAATCGCCATGAAGAGAATTCCAACAATAAGAATACCTGTAACTCGCGTATCCACGTTAACACCATGAGTTGTAATAAGATTAAGTTCATCAGTTTTTGGCTTATAATTTATCAGGAATTCTCTAGCAATAAAGGCTCCAAATCCGACTAGAAATAGAGTACTCAGTATTTTCCATCTTCGGAATCCTGGGCCTCCCTTGAAGATGACTGCGTACTTAGTGTAGAAAAGATCAAAGAGGAAAGAGAGTTCTACCTCAATGACCCTTAAAGCTCTTTCATAGTCCCCTTCTTTTTCAAGAAGACCATTTCGAACGAGCTTCCATGTCTTGTCAAGGCTGCTCTCTGAGAAGGGCTGCCCACCAAATCGGCGGAGAAGGAGCTTAAACAGGGCAAAGGAAAAACAGATGTCCTTGAGCTGCTGCCCTGTTTCCCCTGTTAGAAGCCTTCCTTGACACTGCCATATCTTCTGGAGGGTAACAACTTCGTCTCTGGCGACGTTCAGTTGCATCTGGTATTGTGGCCGCATCACCTCGAACATCCCTACACGGTCTCCAGTGACCAAATAATTGTACCCATTCATTTGAATCGGATCTGGCTCACCAACAGTAGATATTCGATGCTCACTGGCCATGAAGGCTGAAATCGGCTTGGTGTTTTCTGCTAAGGAGGATCTAGCAGCCATTTTTAAAGCTGCAATTTTTTCGTCTGCTTCAATACCCATGCAAACTAATATAGGACTAAACCAATACCGGTATGTTGTTGTTTCAGTGTATAAGCCAACCATGCCTCCCACGAAAATAGACTGCAAAAAAATTATCGAACTATACTTTTTCCATTGTTCATTGTCTTCAGGACTATATGCTGAAAAGGAATGAACTTGTCCAAAAACTATAAGCATAAACGCTCCCCATAGAGGGAGCAGTTCATTTTGGAACGTCGCACCTTGCATCTGGCCAATGGTAAAGGTGAACAGTTGGTTGGAGACTAAAGTGTAGCTTAACCATTGTACGAATGCAATCGCCCCACAGCAGCCTCGACGCCTGGAAGATCCTGTGACAAAAAGAACAACTGCCGCAAGAGTCATCACCAACATGGAGATTTCGATGTATCCCAATTTCATGACCTCAGGATTTTCCTTCCCTAATAGGAATTCTTTCACATGTAACGACACATTCAACGACATTTTCTCTGCTCAATGTGCTAGAACTGCCTTTGCTCTGATGAAATATAGCTCCAACTTTATAAGCCTAATAAACTCATTTCAACCAAAATAATAAAATGATAAAGCTAATATTCAATGTTTTTCTATATATATCTAATTTAATCGTTTTAATTAGTCCCTAATTAATTTCAAATGTATAAATGATTAGTGCCTTCACTGATTAGTCATTTTCACACGTATTGATTGTCATATTTAGGGCCTATTTGGTATAGCGGTTAAAATTTAGCGGATAGTGAATAGTAGATAGCGGGTAGTGGATAGTGAATAGTGGTAGTGGGTAGTGGGTAGCGGGTGGCGGTTAACGGATAGCGGATGGCGAATAGTAGATAACGGATTTGATAAATATAACTGTTTGGTTATATAATAGTTAGTGGTTGTTGTTTAATATTAAATGACTAATAAGGATATGTTTAAAAACAAATAAGTGTATTTTTTAAAATATCTTTATTTTTTATTATTAAAATTATTAATTTTATAAAAATAATAATAA